TTAAAACTTGAATCCGAGTGGTTGCTAAGAAAATATTTGAATATTTTGCACTAATGACGCTTTGCTAATGTTAAAATTGGAAGAGGGGGGGGGGGGGGGGGGGGGGGAGGGTAGCACTACAATTACAGTGATCATGTGCTAAAATTCTCCTTACTGTTATAAAATATTAAATATTAAAGTTATTGAAATCGATTTATATATTTTGAAATATTTTCATTTTTATAGTTCTTATAGTTCTTTAAAATATTCTAAAGCATACATCTAAACATCAAATATTTCAAACATTTTTTAAACATTTTGAAATAATAAATTCTGAAGTATTCTGAAGTATCATGAATATTTTTATTATCAACAGTTAATATATGATAAGCACTTTATATCACTTGTGTATAGAAAGGCATTTTTTGTTTACATGCAGAAAGCAAGTTGTACGCCTCAAAACAATCAACAGTTTTTGTTTACATTGTATGTGAAGAATTTTCATGAAAAACGAGAAACTAATTCGTGTGTGCCGATAATGTATGAATTTTAGTGGATAATTGCTAGTCGGCAATCTATTGAAAAGTAAGACAAATGTTAGCCGGAAAGTCAAAATTATACCCTTGCATTTTAAATTATCACTTTTTTGCCGAGTTCGGATGGATCGAAAATAAAAAAAAACTAATTCACTTTCTTTTATTCATCTCCCTCTTAATCTTAACTACATCAATTTTTGTTCGAAATATCTAAAAATCACGAGTTTTATGGAAATATTAAGTATTTTTATGCTTGTATGGTGCAGCAACGATTTACGCTAAATGCTTTTCTCGTTTTTCTTGGGGAAAAGAGGTTGTATTTTCGGGATGGGGAGAGGGGGGACTAGCACTACAGTAATCAGATAAATTTCATCTATTAGTGTGGTAAATGATACTGTCAGACCCTGTGAAATAACCCTGTGAAATTCTTTATTCAGAAAGAAATGGTTCATGGCCAACGACGAGAAGTTCACTTCTATTTTTTTTTGTTTTTTGTTTCATTATAAACTATAATTTGTGATGGAACAATAAAGTTATCAATTAAATTCATTCTTAAATTGACATAATTTGGACATTTCAACGGACAGGTGAGATGTGAAAAAAAATTATAAAATTTTAGCGGTAATTATAAATGACATTAAATTGAAGATTGTTATCGATAAATTGGACTCAATGCATTTGTTACGTAACTAATGTGAAAATTATATGAATATTTTGACTTACGCAAGAATTGGATTTGTTGGCAACCTTGAAAACAATGAGGTCCACTACATTCTCAGTACAATACCCAAGGACAATACAATATAATAATTGTTTGGATAAAAAATTTCCATGAAAAATTTTCTCATCAAGTTCTCGATTAATCTTATAATATAATTAGAAAGGTGTTTAGAAAATTTCTTAAATCGAAATGATAATAAATATTCCTAAAAAATAATGGCCGTCAACAGAATGTAGCTATATTCGCGAATTCTTTCTCTTACAATACCATTTCCACTTCCACTCTTTATTAAGAAAGGCCTTATTGTGCGAGAATTTTTTTCTGGAGCGGAGACAGGCATGGCCTATTGGGATTTCTTTTTTAAATGACAGACTGATGACTGATTATTGACGAGCCAGAAATCGAAGTTATGCGAATTTATTGCTTATTATTACTTACTCTCAGTTGTAGCGATAGTTGTAAATAATTAATAATTTATGCATTAAAGTGGAAGATGATTTTTTTTAGGAACCCTCACCATTACTGGTTAGATTCATTTCGCTGGCTTATCGCGCTGAAATACGCAGGGATTCTCTTGGCGATAGAAGTACGGATGAGTCGCCAGCCGGGAAAATAAAAACTTGGTTTTTTCCTTTCGTTAATCAGTTTGCACTTATCCATATGCGAATTTAATTAAAACGGTCCGCTTAGTCTATAAATGATAAATAGATAAACCACTTAGTCTATAATTGTATAATCGCAATCTTCATAAATTTTCAGGAATAACGATCCAATAGCAATTGCAACTGCGCAGAATTTTGCAAAATTCTAATTTTTCTTGCAGTGAAAATTTTTTTATACTTCATCATTAGCTAATTTCCATTTTTTCCACCAATGAAAATCAGTGATTATTTTAAATCACCAATTATCACTGGCAGTATCCACTCGAAAATGAAGTTACAAGTGGATCTCCAGCAGCTCTTTTCTTTTCACTCTCTATGAGCAGTGATTTCTTGTCGTCTTGTTTATCTACAGGCTCAATTGGTAAATTTAGAAAAGTTTCATTTTAGTGGATTAGTGGACTAATTTTTTGTTGCAGCAGTTATTATTTAGTTGGTACATATATATTAATATAAACATATTGAAACATATTGAGCTGTTTTAATTGCCTTCAGAAAAGGTGTTCATCAAATCTCTGTAATAGCAATAATAATAAAATAAGACTGATCAAAATATTCAAGGCCGATCGAGAACAAAAATCATCATTTATGTTCATAGTTGACGGTAATAAATGGTTATTTGATGGAATATGAACTTCAACTAATAGATTGATAATGATAGCCATCATTTAGTAATTGCATATTCCAGACAGTGTTTGCTTGCCAATATAGTAAATCATATAGTAAATCAGATATTGGAATTAATTTTCATGAGCAACAATGATCTATTAATTATTTAAGATAGTACCAAAAAATTCTTTCTTACTATCAGTTCACCTTTGTATATGCTTATCATAGCTGTGCACTGATGATTTATATTTCTCCAGGTGACTCTCCGGCAAAAGGGATCGTGACCAACTGAATCGGCCAAATCAGTAATAATGTGCTATTTAAAGAAAAACCATAAAAAAACCATGAAAACCCTTCGTTTCCGTTTTGTTTCTAAACTGCTTTAATATTTTATAGCAATGCTTTTGTCTATTCGGAATTAGGTGGTAGAATAATAATAATATAGTTGAAAACTTCTACACACAACTCGTAATGTTGAAGGAAACGCCACCGTAATCCGATAGATTAAAATTATTAAAAATAAAATTGTTGTTTCCATGGAATAAATAGACGAATAGATAAATTGGCTATACAAAATATTGATATTGTATATTATATTTTAATTAAATATTAGCTTCATTATAAATAATATTAGATATCACCTTAAAAAGCGTTAATACCATAGTGGCGATTTTTTTCTTCGAGCAATCTGTTGACAATTTATGGACCTTCTGTTGACAGAAGGAACGATTAAACCAGTTTTAACCTTTAAAAAAATTTCTCTTCTCTGCTAATTATTATAATAATAGTAGCATAAACTGAATCAATTGAAATTCATTATGGTCACGAAAAAAAATGACTAGAAATTTTCAAAACAATTAACTCGAATTTAAAAGATCGAAAAATTAAATTTTTTTCAGCGATATTTGCATAAAATCAACATTTAAGGAAAAATGGATGAAAAATTTTAAACAATAGAAAACAGACCGACCAATCATTTAAAATTGGCAAGCAATATTCATGCAGAAATCGATCCTCAGTCAATAAAAATATAGCAATAAATAACTAAAATATTGAATATTTTACTAATAATAATAATAATACTGTCATATCGTAGCTCAGCTATATCCTGGTAGCATTTTTAACGCGTTCTTTTTAAGCTGAATCAGGCGAATGAAAGCATTTTGCTTTTGAAACATTGTTGCACCAAAAGTGAGATTTTCTATTTGGGATGGTCTCTGAGGACCGAGCTGCATCTCTGTTCTCAAATGGCATTCTAAAAACACTATGACAGCGAAACCAGCGGAATCAAAAATTATATCTATTGTTATAGCTTCTAAAGCTTCCTTAAATCATTCATTTGAAATGCGAGGAGAAATTCTAAGAGATTTTATTGCGGAAAATTTTCAGAAGAAGCAAATCGCCATTGGCATTCTACAACATAAAATATGTGCTAAATAAGAAAGCACGAGAAATTCTATTGAATTATTGATAGGTACTTGAAAAAAAGAGTACATTTATTATTTTGCTGTAATTGTGTATAAAAATTAAAAGTCTTCCTTAAGGCTTATTTTGGAAATTAAATCAGCTAGGCTCTGCTCATCTATTTGTGCCTTTCATATTACAAAAATATTTATATTTATATTGAGTAGAACCAGTGGTTCAACCAAAACCAATAAATAGATATATCATTATTTTTCTTATCATTAAGTCCACTTTTGTTTCGTTTTTTTAATCATTAAATTCAATTTATTTACATTTTTAATAATTGAAATAAATATAAATATAATTTATTACAAGCCGAAAGTATAAAAATATATGAAAGAATGCACAATAGAACTATAAAGCGCAAGTCGATTTACATAAAATTAAATCCCGTTCACGAGCAATTCAATTATTTATAATTATTGGCAAAAAATAGAAAATTAAAAAGATCTCTCGAAAATGCAGCAAAACGAAAATTCTTACAGACTAATATACTAAATTATAAACTAAATTTTTTTAAAGATATGCATCGGAAATTGGAAAGTTTCTCTTTTTCCAATGCAAAATGGCAAATTTATCAAAAATTTGATACTATAGTAGCATTCAGTAAAGAAAGACTGGTATATTACTTCGCATAGATTATGGTTGGTTCGGTTCATATTTTGCTTGCCACTGAAGTGAACCTTTCATTAAAAGTTAAGTCCGAGTACTGGGAGCCCATTTGTAATTCTGTTTTTAAGTTATTCTCTAGCAAAATTAGCTTTTAGTAGAGCCAGTATAACAGAGAATTCCACTATTTTATTTGCACAATAAAATGGTCATTCAGCCCATTACTTCATTCTTGGTGACACAGCTCGCGAAGCTTGATAGACGTTAAGACAATAATGTGGACTATATGCTATATAGTTAATCGCATAGTGCAATAATGACAATATTTCTTCACCAAAATTTAGAAATATTTCTAAATTTTCAGTTTACATCATAATTCAATGCAATTCAATAATTTAAAGCAGATAACCGTAAGACATTCATTCATTCAGATTTTGTCTCTGATTTTGTCTCAGATATTGATGGAGTTTTCGAACTTTCTGGCAAGTTACAATGACTTAGACTTAGCGTATAACCAGCAGATGGTAGATGAAATGGAAACATTGCGAGAGGTAGTGCAGTAGAGGTCAAAGATGGTGGCGTCAGTGTTGATGATGATATTGTTGCCGATGCATTGATACTTGTTAGAGCTTGGGGTGGTGGCAATGAATTCGATACAGTTCCAGCCAATGCCAAAGGTAATGGGCCTTGAAGCACAGCATTCTGCATTGGAAAGAACCTTGGCTGGGAGAGTGAAGTGGCCGCCATATAGTTCGCCCAATACGGATTAGTTCGTAATAACTGTTGCACTGCAGCGACATTTGAAGCTTCATTTAGTAAATCCATACCAACTGCTGCTTGCCGCTTCCATTTCGTCCTGAAACAATGAAAACACTATAGATTTTTCAAAGAATTTGAGTTTTATGCATAATTATCAATCAGATATATCTGTGACCTAGTGCAAGATGAATGCCACAACGAGAAATGAGGATGGCTCAAGTTCAAGTTTGACTGATCACATGTCACCGAATGGATAAAGCAAAGGGAGGTGGAGTAAGGCAGTGGGTTGTTACTTGCTTGGCTCAGAGCGCCTACTCGCTGAAATTCCACGCTCGACAGGAATAAACCTGTGCTCCAGAAAAACCGCATAATGCTGGCGAATCACCTGCAATTTTACTGTGATTCCCTAGCAAAATTTTTCTGACACGACAAATCAGTGAAACGAACTTAATCAGCAACAAAAATCAAAAAACAAGTGAAGAAAGCCACATATATTAGTTGTAGCATCTGCTAACAGAGTTCCCTCATTAAGGATGCCATAATTTACAGTTTACTTAAAAGATTTGATGATTTAACAGACCACATACTATCAGTAAAATGACCCGAGTAATTGGCTTATTTGAATGGAAAAATATTGAATTAAGATGAATTTCATAAAAAACTATTAAGAGATTTGCCCATCTATTCGCTTTACCTCCATCTAAATTATCCTTTTTGTTTCGAATAATTTAATAATGCAGTGCTATTGCCCGTTGAAAAATATTTCTAACCGTATTTCATATAAATTATTCATATTATCAATTTTTTAAAATAATGCTTTAAATTTTTTTTTTATACAGCGAGAAGACTCGAGCTAAATCGAATTATTCGCTACAATACCTCGCCTAAGAATATGAAACCGACATTATTCTCGATCTAAATTCATCAATTCAAGCAATTATATTTATTAAGTTTGTGCTTGACTGATCTGTTTTCATAGTGAATCCCAGCGCACAAATCGAACAATACGTTTTCTAACAAAAACCATTATTGGCATTGGCGATAGGCAGCCAAGCGAATAATTCTATTAACTAAAGTAGTTACCAACAAATATAATATAAAAACTTAACCTATATGCGTTTTCAACTGCATCATCAAAAAAAAAGAAAAATGGATAATTCATCAATTTTTTGTTTTTTCTCTCTTGAATCGCTTCTTTTGAATTCTCTTAAATTCAAGCTTGGTCGCATAAAAATCTCTAAGAATTTACTAAGAAATTCAGCCATGTGAAATATTGAAAAGATTTAATGAATTGAGATTTAAGGCCTAAAGTATTGAGAAAACATCGACGAAGTTTTACAGTTCAATAGAAAACTATTTTTCGGTTTGATATCCATTTCATTATTTCAACTTATTTAGTGGTTATAGATTTTAACAATTGATTTCTCCAAAAACGGCTTATAGTGGTCCCTTCTCTTCCTTTAGCAGCACTTTCATTAACTTCATGTGTTTGGCTGAGGATTGGCTTTCTCTCAGTTTCCTATAAATCACCAGGATCACTTAGGTGACTAATGATTTATAATAGCTAATGATTTTTAAGACACTTAAATTCTTTTCTTTTGTATTACCTTTCCCATATTGTCATTAATCATTATTTTTCTTTCACATCTTCCCTCTTCTAATTCTATTTTAGACACTTAGTGTTCACATAATTAAAACAATATTAAACAATACCATCAAATCTGATTGAAAAATGGTATAATCAGCTAGTGCGTTTTAGTTGTTTAATTTATCTCATAAATTTGAGAGAAAATTAAAAGAGTCTATTTTTCATTCGATAAAAGAAAGAATTCGTTAGTTTAAAAGCTTAATGATGAATAGATTGGTGGAAAAAATAAGAAAAACCTATAATTAGAATATATTAGATATTTCTGCATGAAAACTGTTAAACTGTTAAAAAATAATTCACAGAAGCGAAAAATATGAGAAAAGAATTCTCTTAATATCTGCAGAAATTCTATACTTATAAGAAAAGAATTTGATAGACCCAAAATTTATCTAAAATAAACTTATCAATCCAAACTTATCAATTTATCTATGATAGATTGATGCTGCATGGCTCAACACCTTGAATTTTTGCCCAGTGAATACTTTTAGCTTCTAAATTTTCCAACCCTTTGAAGTTCGCATAAACTAACAAGTCGTTTCTCTCGTGACATATCAAAGAAATTCTGTCATATGAAAGGCGTATATCGCATGTTATATGATTGAAGCGTCAATTTTACTGAAATTATCAGATGCCCTCATCTCTAACTGTTTAAATTATTCAGCTAAAAGCCTTTCTATCAAAAGCTTCCTTTTTATCTAAGTGCGATTAGCTCAATAAATTAATAATATAGCAAGGATTTATTAAGAAAGATCTATGTATGAAAAATAAACATAAAATGAAAATGATAGCATTAAATTATAAGCCTACTCAAAGATTAAATCCTAGCGTAAAATTATTCAGCTTGGCAAACTTTATAATAAATTTTATATTTCATAGGCTTAAATCCAAAATTAAGCTTTGATAAAAAAGCCTTTTAAATTTTTAGGGACTAATGTTTTCGCAGAAAATTTGGGAAATTAATTTATTATTATTAAATTCATCCCTTAAAAACAAATTTGAATAAAAAAATAAAATTTTTTTTGAAATTCTGGTTTGTCGGTCGAATTATGAAATTATCATAAAATTTTCATAAGCATTCAAATGATATAAAAAATTTACAAATCAAATGAAGAAGAAATTCTAATGAAATAAAAAAGAATTTACCTACGATTTTGGTACCAAGTTTTTACTTGGGTATCTGACAAGCCCATTCGTTGTGCCAAATCCATACGATCTTGTACACTCAAATATTTTTGCTTATCGAAGGTGGCTTCCAATTCCTAAATATTATAATGCTGATGTTGGGCAGCAAAAGTAAATAATTCAATTATAGAATATAAACAAAATATAGAAAATAATTTGAAAATGAGAAAAATCCGAAATTTTTGTTGACCAACCTGAAGTTGTTTATCTGTAAAGATGGTACGAGCTTTCCGTGCTTTCTTGCTACAACTCGCAGAAGAATGTGGACTTCCTGACCGGTGTGATTCTGCTGATACACTTCTCTCTTCTTCACCCAGCGGTGTAGGTTCTAAATTATAAGAGAGTTTAAAAGATTGCTGAATTTAATTTCTGAAATTAAAAATCTCGTAAAATATCGGCTGCATTAATTGGTTTTACAATAGTAATACAAAGAAAAACCGTCTAAATTATTGTTTTTTTAAGTCTCATGAATAGAATAAAACTTCAAAATAAGATTTCATAGTTAATTAGCAATGAAAATGAAAATTGTGTGGAGAATGGAAAGGAAATTTTTTTAGCAAAAACTTTAACGAAAGAAAGAATAAAATTTCAGATAAAATTTTAAAAAATGGAGGAAAAAAATGGAAGAAATGGAGGAAAAAAATAAGAAAAGAATGGCAGATGAAAGTAAAAAAGTTGAAAAAATATTTCAGATTCGGCTTAGTGAAGGTATTTATTGACAGGGCCAGAATTACATAAAATTTAATCTACGATGATCGGTTACCTCGCATAAAATGCAACAAATTCAGCTGACAGCCTTTCACAAGATCATTCGAATCTCCATTACAATTACAATTCCATTTTTACTCGATTATCTTCATTTTTAAGAGGAATGTTCAATTTTTTTTAAATTGCATGTTCATTCCACGATAACTTTTATCTTTTGCTTGATATTGATTTCCGTTTCAGTCAACCTTGTCGGATTCATATCAAAATAAATATTGTACATAAAAATGTATTCTCAATATAGTGTTTTATCAACCAATACTAGCTGTACTAGCTGTATTATCGAATGAGCCATTAGGTAGTACCAATTAATTAATTGACCTTTAGAGTTGAAGAATAGTAAAACAAATTTATCAGAGATCTTTCTTGGCAAATTTTAGTTGGTATAAATGTCTCTAAAATTTTTCAGACTTTTAAAATCAGAAGAATTTGTTCAATTTAACCAAACTAATCGATCATAATAAATTAAAATTACAATAGGATTCTTGAAAATCAAAGGTCAACACTAATTGGTTTAAATAGAAAATGATCCTCTATACGATAACAATAGGTACAGGTAAAGTTGTCGTTAATCCGAATAAATCCATTTATCGTGTAAAGATGCATTTTCCGCGTGAACACTAGCAAATTGCTAAATGAACAAGAGAGGGATTTATGAATAAAAATCTCTCAATTTGAACAATTTGATAGAATAGCGATTAGTTCGTTCAGATTATTGTAATGGATTAACGCATCAACGATTTTATTCTGTAAGCAGGTGGAGAAAAATTAGAAGAGGTAATGAGGTAGCAAGATGCTTTTTATCTATGAATTATATGGCAAATAGCAATTATTTATTTTGAAACTTTTCTTATGAAAAGGTGTAAATTTTGGATATTGGATGCTTTTCCAGAAACGAAGAAAATTTCCTCGATTGCCTCCATTTCGAAAAACTAGAAATTCTGCAATAATCTCTCGGCAATAAAAAATCAAAATTAATATTTTTCACCAAGAAAACTATGTTTTTAACAGTTATCTTTTTTCTAATGAAATATATAACGATTAATAATTTTCCTTTCTATCGAATTCTAATTTTTCTACTTACATAATAAATCGCTTAGAATAAACCTTGGTTGCTGCAAATCGGAATATATATTGTATTCAGTTATTTTTGCCTCCATTTGGAGATAAAATGTTTAGAAATGTTCAAAATATTAATCTACCAGCTGAAGGAAAATTTACTTTAACTTTCCTCTTCATATATCATATTTGCATTGATTTTTGCATTGATTTTAAGTGATTTATTTATCTTAATATGGAATCAGTTAGGTTTCTGCTGCACAAAGATGGCAACATTGCAAAGACGTGATTTGTGCGATGGATCTATCTGTTCTTCTGCTTCTGTTAGAATAATTTCTGCGTAGTGGAAGTAGGCAAACCAGAAATGGCAAGTGGTGCTCTTAAAAGAAGAATTTTCTTATATATTTGGTTATATGATTTAATTGCCCTCAAAATTGATCTTGTGCACAATTATTTAATTTCCGATAATTTGCCATCTTTCAGGCAATATTTTTTCCTATAGAATAGAATGGGAATTTCCATAACCGAAAGATAAGCGAATACCATAGGAAGAAATTCGAGAACACATAACAAATCATACTTACTGGAAATAATTAGAAAATATAGTTTGGTATATACTAAAATGCAGCTTCTTTTTTTGCCTCATTTACGCAAAGCGAATTAAAATCGAACTTATTTTTATTTTTATTTATACTTCACTCGATAAAATTTCAACCGACTTAAAATCATTTCATATAAATTACTGTTTTTGTTAAACTTTAATTTCACCAATTTTGTCATTTGCAAGGCTTTGCAACTGAATTAATTGCAAGGGATAAGAACATACAAAAAACAAAAAAGAGTTACAGATAAAATACAATAACTCTATGAAAAGAATAGAATAGAGATAATAAACAATATTTTAAGAAAAATAAAGATGAAAAAGAAAGATAAGGCGATAAAAAAATTTTGAAGTGAAATAAATTATCAAATAGGTTTAAAATGATATGATATAATAACAAAAAAATTCACCTCGTTCACCACTCGTATTCGCTTTATTTTCACTTGATTCAAGAATATCAGAAATCCGAAAAGAATTGCCTAAAGTCATTTTACCACCACCATTACTTTGACTAGGTGGCTTTTCGAGTAATGCTAATGTAGTTGGATCAATATTGTACATGAATGGACTCATAAATATTTGCCGAGGATCGAGCATACCTATTTGCCTAAAATAGATATTTAATATGTATTTTTATTAATATGTATTTAGCAAAGAAAAAAGAGAGAACGATACGCTTGCTTGCAATCGAAATGTTTTCACAGGGATGAGTCCAGTCGCTGCACTTTTCTTCACTTTCAGATAATTTTTTCAAAAAATTATTTTTTATTTTTAAAATTTTATCTCGAATAAAAAGAAAATGGTATGTTTAAGCGGGCGATTTCAACATAATTAATGATTGTTAATTAAGCGGTTAACGCTCTTATATATATTAATTTCACTGGCTGCTAATACAATTAGCAGTTTTGCCAGAGAATCGCTTGGTGATTGAAGATGATCGGAATGAGAATCGGAATGAGCGCCACTCGTATTTTTAATGACAAGCTTATTGGAAAGTCGATACTAAACCCTGTTAATAAAATGATCTAAGCCATTCAGTCCACTCGGCTATCGTGTCCCTTAGGTTAACTCCATCGGCTATTTCTGAGTTAATAAAGAATGTTGGCAAGTTGACCGTAATCTAAAAATAAAAACGAATGTAAGGAGAGAAGCGATGATTGTCGCCTAATACCAGTCAATTGCCTTCTGACTAAACGCATGTAAAGAATCGTTCAAATGTCGATGATTGGTGCAATTCATCCCGAATAGGCGTGGCTTATAAATTTTTTAATTTAACCAGATGAGTAGGCGTGGCTAGAATTTTTATTCTCTAATTGGATTCTGTCCTTTTTCGTTATAATTATTTTTTTCTTCTAATAGTTGGAGAAATATTTTTGTTATTTTCATGAACAAAAAACATTTTAAAAAATTTATTTAAGCCGGATAGGAAAGTATCAGTCAACTCTGCAGCTTGACTGGTTCCATTGTTCGCCAGGTGAAAACCTTCCCTGCTCTTGCCAGAAATCCACTTCCTTCTTTTCATTTTTCCTTCTTTGCTTAATAAAATATAAAAAAAAGTCAAATGTCAATTACTTTTGACGAAAAATCATTAAATCTGAATTCTAAATTTTTTTAAAATTTTTATAACATCATTGAAATTTCAAATCGAATTGAGAAATTGATGTAATATTTTATTTGATGAAGAGATAGATGTGTCGGATATTTAGTCCAAATCTTTTTCTGCAAGAACATTGTTTTGACATAGAAACCAATTACGAAAAAAAACTTAGTGGTACGGCAATTTTATCATTTATCAACGCTTATCATATGTCAAAGTATGCAATTCATCGAATCTATAGGAGATGACCACAATTGATTATTTTATTGCATCTATTGATATAGATTTGTAGTGTGGCTTTTTGGTTCAATAAAAAACGGAATGAATAAATGAAATTATGAACGATTTTGTGAAAATTATGATGACGATGATTGCTAGATGAGAATCATTTCATAATCTCATCAAACGGATTAATAATATTGCATTATGTATGTATATATTTGTTTCATTATTATTATTATTATTATGTATATATTTGAAGATAAGGCGGAGCGATTTATGAGATTATTATTATTATTATTACAGAGCTTTGCGGAGATAATAACCATGTTATTAGTGAAATCCAATTACCATTGTTCAAAATAATAGAAATGAAAAAACTATCGGCGATATGCTATAATGAAACAAATATAAACATGCGTAACAAAAAATGTGTAAAATTTATCCTCTTAAATCAAAAATCAATCAAATTATCTTCAATTTTATTATATAAAAAGAACCAAAAACCAGCGGTCTGAGTAAGAGAAATTCAAGTTTCTCTTCTCTTAAATAAAAAACATTTTATAAACAAATTGCAAAAAAAGTCGTATGTTTCTTCAGCTAAGACTAAAATCCAAACCCTTAATAATCACTATTTTCGAAAAAATTATTTTTTTTCTAACAGCTCTCATCATTACTGGTCAGCCTTACTACGCTGGCTCCAGGTTTAAGACATCTCTAAGCTATTTAGTCTACAATAGAAGGTTTTCTTTTTTCTATTGTTTAAGTCCATATATCGCTGGCCCATTTATACGTTCAAAAACTTTCTTGATCGTATCATTCCAGGTCTTGGTTGGTCCTCGTTTTTGATACCAATTACCACGGAGCAAGTAACGAAATATGCATATTCTCCGTCGTCCATCCCAGAAATATAGTTCGCTACTTGCTAAACTGTGTGATAAGTGGCGTCAAAAGCGAGGAGAACCAGTCAAGACCTGGTTTGATATAGTTAGGAAAGATTTTGAACGTATAAGGGGATCAGCGATATATGGGCGATGGAAAAAGGAATGGCTTCTATTACTATTAGCGATGTCTTATCCTCGTAGCCAGCTGATCCTCTAACCAATAATGGTAAGAGTTGTCAGAAAAAGAAGAAGAGATTTCATTCATTCTTTAGATGCACTTTAGACAAAGATGAATTGTCAAAGATTGACAACTTTTAAAATCCTCCACTCTCATTGGTCATGTCTTGCAGTCATATTGCAAGATCGAGCGACTTACAGCTATGTGGACCCGGATTTTCATATTTATGGTGATTTCGCGATGGCTCTATAAAGATTTCGTCAATCGGAACGCAATTCTAGCTGCCGCATTTGAGTTTTAATTTCATCTTTTTCCTAGCCATTCGGTATTAGAGTGGGTCCGAGATATTTAAAATCTGGAGCTTCTTCCACTGACAGACCGGTCTTCTTTCCGAAAAAATAAATAAATTTTTATAAAATTTATAAATTTTTGAAGGTGAAAATCCATTACCAAATTCTATGGTCCAATAATTTTGTGCCATTTTATTATCATTCATTCATCCTTGTATACCAAAATGTTTCAAAGAGAAAAATAATTAGAGAAATTAGAGAAATGAAACGTACTGCTTTTTAAATCATACAATAGCAAAATATTTTCCTTTTGGGAAGATCGATTAACTGTTGAGATGAGAAATTTTTATCAAAGAAATTTTTCTTTAATAAATATTAAATATGCTTATGCTTTAATAAACAAAGAAAATTTGGTTTTTTTCTGCTTGAAAAATAAAGAGTTAATGCGGAATAAAATGCAATATGTTTTATTGTAAAAACTAGAGACAAATAAAAAGCGTAAAATATAAGTGATACGAGAAAATATTAAAACGAAGGAACAAAAAAACCGATGAATCCTTCAACCATAAAATTGTCGTATATAACAAATTCGCTTTAATTAATTCTTAGAGTCAAAAAAAGGAGAATTATTAGTTATAAACAAAAATTTGGAAATTTTGAAATTCAATAGCTTTTGATGTCCTTTAAATCAATTAAAAACGTGAATATAATTAAAAATGAAAAAAATTGCTTTGATGAGGGAAAAAAAGAATGATGGAAGAATGATAGATGGAAAAAAATGAAAAAAAATTGAAACCAAGAAGCGAATGAGAAATGAAAACAAGTGAAAACACCATAAAACGATATTTTGTGACAGGAAATGGAGTAAATTTTAGGTGAACATCATCCATATGAAATGCTTTATAATTGAGGTTAACGAGGCCTTGAAGTTCTAATAACAGTCATTCTCTTATTTCTATTATTGTATTCCTTTTATAATGCACTTATAACAATAGAAATTTTCCTTTAATATTATAAATATTAAAAAACTAATGAATTATAAAATCTATGGAATTGCTTTGGATTTTTAGACAAAATGGCGAAGAAATGGCTAAGTTTCATGAAGTAATGATAATTTGATTAATTTGCCTTGTTAGAAAATTCTAATTCAGTCGAAGGTCAAAAAATGACAATCCATTTGATTAATTACAATAATTCCAAATTTAAGTTCTCTATTCTGAAAAGAAAATAAATATTTGCCATTTACAATTGGTTGTGACAAACTATTTTTAGAAATTAACATGGGTTGCAATTATATTGTTGTACCACAGGTTCCTAGTGCATTTTTTTTCGACGAAGTTGAATTTTTTAATTTTTGTTATCGAAGACAATGAGAGATAGGCTAAATACTACCTAAGCTAAGTGGGCTAAAGCCTACTCGATATAGACCATCTACAATGTAGACCATATACAATTTATCAATGATCAGAAGTCCATTCTAAAATGATCTGTTCCAGAGTTTTATCAAGAAAATTATAGTTTTAACTTTAATGAGATAGTTTAAGACATTCAAATAACGAATAATTAAACCAATTTGTTTCAATATTTTTTCAATATTCACATATTTAAATGAAGCCCTTCTTTTTCAAAATTGCTTAAATTTTTTTGCAATTTTTTAAAGAGCTCACCACTCCTCCTACTCATTCAATTGACTTATCAAGAAAAATTTTATCAAGAAATGCACTGGTAAGTCAAACCGAGTCAGTCTCTTGTTTTTCATTCTTTTTGCAACATTTTTTATTTTTTAAAATTTTTCAAAAGCTAAAATAGAAATAAAAATAGAAATATTTTGAATAAATATCATATTTATTTAAATTACAGTTTTGAAAAAACCATGAGCTGAAAAACTTAACAATATTTATTCAGATTTTGCCCTATTTTTGTGGCGAAAAAAACTATATAAATGGTTTTACGAGTAGTAGATCTAAGTGGTTTTTTTTCCACTTGTCGGCATTTCATGCTTTTGAACAAAATACATTTTAACACCTGTGAAGTAAATACCCGCTGATTTTGGTCTGTAATTTTGAGAAGGGTAAAATTAAGTATAAGTCTAAAAAAGACTTCCGTTGACAATTAAAAATCGGTATGATCAAACGACGAGTAAGAAAATACCGAAATAATTTATTCACCATAAAGTAAGAAGTGAAACAATGGTCAAATGGTTACCTGATTAATAATTGCACGCTTCATATTATCGAAAAACGCTGTCTGCATGAATAGAGATGGACATGATGGTTAGGAAGCATTTTTTTCAATAAATGGTCAATGACGGTCAAGAATTGACGTAACACCTTTTAACTAACCGATTCATAACTAATAATATTGCGCAATTTTTATATATACCACATTGACTGATTTTCATGAACGGTCAGCGGAAATATTTTCATAGA